GCATTGTAAATTAAAAATTCTATTCACATTTCTCATTGCTTCTCTGACAGAATCAACCTTCAACTGTCTCATGGCAAACACAAGATAAATGATCTGATTACGACATTCTCAAAATCAGGAGATACGAGAATCTACAAATGACATCTTGTGGAATCATGACCGATTGGATAAGTCAAAGTTCAAATCCTACAGCTCTGTAAATTCTTAGAATTCGTTATCCAATTTTCCTTTTCTGTGTCACTCACTTAGAGATAAGTACACTAGTTTGCTAATGACTTCCTTTAAAAAATGATTGATTAGCCTTAGTATTTACATCGTTAGATAAAATGATGTAAAAACTGATTGACCATAAGCAGATTTCATGTCATGAACATTATTAATAATATGTTATTATTACCTGAATGTTCATAATTAGCCTCAATGTTAACATTGAACTTTAATGTTAACATTGAACTCCAATGTTAACATTGAACTTTATGTTAACATTGAACTTTAATGTTAACATTGAACTTCAATGTTAGCATTTAACTTTATGTTAACATTGAGCTTTAATTTAAACATTGAACTTTAATGTTAATATTGAACTCCAATGTTAACATTGAACTTTATGTTAACATTGAACTTCAATGTTAGCATTTAACTTTAATGTTAACATTGAACTTTAATTTAAACATTGAACTTTAATGTTAACATTGAACTTTAATTTAAACATTGAACTTTAATGTTAATATTGAACTCCAATGTTAACATTGAACTTTATGTTAACATTGAACTTCAATGTTAGCATTTAACTTTATGTTAACATTGAGCTTTAATTTAAACATTGAACTTTAATGTTAACATTGAACTTTATGTTAACATTTAACTTCAATGTTAGCATTTAACTTTGTGTAACATTGAGCTTTGATTTAAACATTGAACTCCAATTTTAACATTGAACTCTAATGTTAATATTGAACTTTATGTTAACATTTAACTTTAATGTTAACATCGGACCTTAATGATATTGAAACTATTGTTATTGTTATTTTACCTCAATGTAAATATTTAACTTCAGTGTTGATATTCTACCTCTGCGTGATAGAAAAACTGTATAATATTTCTATATTCACTAGATAACCATAGTATAAATTCATGTCTAATAACACATGGAAATTCTCAGTTGGTTCAGAGGTAGACTAAATGTCTGTTTATCCCTCATGAGAGTCTATGTTTCAATTAATAGAACGCCTAAAAGCTGTAATAATTCAGTATAAAGCATGTATAATTTAATATTTTCTAAAAAGATATGTGCGCTGCATCGTGATTATTCACAGAATCATGGTATAAATGTTGATCTGACCAAATGTACCATTTTCTCAATATTTTGAATTGATTTCCTTGAAAGAGAAAGCATTTCATAAGCATTTATTAACATTAGCATTTACAGACAAGAATTACCAGACATATTAGCATTTTTAAGCATTAGCATTTTCAGACAAATTAGCATTACCAATCACATAATTATTTCTTAACATTAACATACAAATGAGCATTTTCAGACAAATTAGCATTTCCAATCACATAATTATTTCTTAACATTAGCATACAAATTAGCATTTTCAGAAAAATTAGCATTACCAATCACATGATTATTTCTTAACATTAGCATACAAATTAGCATTTTCAGACAAATTAGCATTACCAATCACATGATTATTTCTTAACATTAGCATACAAATTAGCATTTTCAGACAAATTAGCATTACCAATCACATGATTATTTCTTAACATTAGCATACAAATTAGCATTTTCAGACAAATTAGCATTACCAATCACATGATTATTTCTTAACATTAGCATACAAATTAGCATTTTCAGACAAATTAGCATTACCAATCACATAATTATTTCTTAACATTAGCATACAAATTAGCATTTCAAGAGAAATAAGCATCAGCATAATAAGCATCAACAGGCAAATAAGCATTTCAAGACATTAGTATTTCCAGAAAAAACAGCAATACAAAACAAATTAGCATTCTAAACACAAGTGTTAGATATTAGCAGTGTCACACATTGACATTTCTAAACATCTAAGCATTTCCAGATAAAATTACATTTCCAATTTTTGGACTCAGTATTTCTAGATATTAGCATTTCCAGAAATAAGCACTGCCAGACACAACAATAGCGATATTTAATTTCAAGTTAGTGTGATAATATTGATTCTCCAACATCTTAGAGCAACGATCTATTCTAATCCTAAAATGAAATTCTACATATTTACAATTGTCCATCTAAAGAATTACACAAAGATAGAGAGGAGTCCAAGAACCTACTTTCAAATAGAATCAAGTTCCGTCTTTTTATATTATGGCATCGGTTCTACAATGTACATTTTATCGTGACTATATAGAGCAATACTAGAAAAGATCAATTGTAGCGTAGGATTTTTTGCAATGGTTAATACCTTCAAAGAGATTAAGCTCATGGGCCTTGCTTTCTTATGTTATTGGTTAGAAACGCAAGCCTGTGTCAGAGTAGGATTTCACACAGCAATTAGGAAATTAAGAATGACCTCATATTATATAAATGTTCTCACACTACCCAGAAAAAGTTTACTTTTAATTATTATGTCACTTCCAAAAGTGTTGACATATTGTTATGGTCTCCGTTTTTGTGAAGGTCCAAGGGTATTTTTTCAACTTGCTTCAAATTGACCAAATATTTTTTCAAAATCATCAAGATATCAGAAATTCAAATCTGATTTTTAGACCAATTTTCAAAATCATCTACAAGTTCTCAGAAGCTCAAATCTGACTAAGATTGAGATCATAATATTGTGAGCACCTATGTTGTTACATTTTGCCTTGTTTTGGCTTTAATGTTTTGGTAGCCTGCATCCTGCATTAATGGACATTAATGATTTTTCAAACTGCCAAGTATTATCATTTGTGTGGTCTTTATTTTCGATTCATGATGCCACACTTTTTGAGGGGGTGTATTATATTATCAGCCTCAATTAATACACCAGCTGCATGCAATGAATTTTGAGATAATCTACCATCTAAAAACATTCAGATGTAAAGAAAACCAATATTTAATCATTCAAACCCCATCTGAGAAACAATCATTCTTGTTATCACGCAAAATAAAATCCATCCTTTACAAGAGAATTCAAATCTCTATCCTCTGGCCTAATAGGTTGGTGACAATTTCTGTAAAGAGGCCTAATAAACAAAAATGCTGCACCCCCCATACAATTTTTCATGTTTGGTACCAAATTAAAGCTAGAAATGTGTAGAAATACGATATTTATATAAGTGTAACATTGATTAGACCAGTGTGTATGGGTACATACAGGGTATGTTGAGTCTTAACCTTTTACAAGACAACCTGCCTCTGATCATTAACCTCTAGGGTAAAAAGTGGTATATTTCTAATGCATGTATACTATACATGTATACTATACATGTTCATAGTTTTTGTTGATAAAGTCTGTTAGAAATCTCCTGATCCATAAAAGGTGCTCTCTGTGGGTAGGTTGTTACAATAGAGAAGGTATAGTGAAGTCAAAAGAGTACGTTCTTGTTCATTCGAAAAATCTGTTTACAAGAGAGAGGTGTTCATAGAAAGATGTGTTCACAAGAAAATGTGTAAATTAAAGAGAGGTGTTCACTGTAGAAAGGTGTTAAATAAAAATATATTTACTCTAGAGAGAAGTGTTTCAATAAAATATGTGTGTTCATTTAGACTTAGTTCTTCTGTTTTTTACAGCATGCTCCGTTGCATGATGCTGACAATATAATTATGTTTTATCGCCCTTTTGCATGATGCTGTACAATATAATTATGTTTGATTGCCCCTTTGCAAGATGCTATACAATATATTTATGTTTGATCATCCCTTTACATGATGTTGTAAAATATAATTAGGTTTGATTGTCCCTTTGTATGATGCTATACAATATAATTATGTTTGATTGCCCCTTTGCATGATGCTGTACAATATAATTATGTTTGATTGCCCCTTTGTATGATGCTATACAATATATTAATGTTTGATCGTCCTTTTACATGGTGCTATACAATATATTTATGTTTGATTCCCCCTTAGCATGATATTGTATAATATAATTATGTTCGTTTGCCCCTTTGCATGATGTTGTACAATATAATTTTGTTTGATTGCCCCTTTGTATGATGCTATACAATATATTAATGTTTGATCGTCCCTTTACATGGTGCTATACAATATATTAATGTTTGATTGCCCCTTTGCATAAAACTGTACAATAAGTTTTGTTTGATTGCCCTTTGGCATGGTGCTATACAATATGATTATGTTTGATGCTGCATGCATGATAAATATTAATTTCTAGTTTAATAGATGGCAATCTATAAGGCATTATTAATTTTCCTCTAGAATCTGAATACAGAAAAGTAGAAAGCATTGAGATCAACAAGAACCAATAAAAATAGAAACACTTAGGCATTGTTTGAACTGTGTATTTAAGAATACCAACTGATTGATTAAATAAGTAACCGAAAGAGACACATGCATGTGAAGGTAGTTTTGCTTGTCTGTGTTTGAGATGATCTCATCCTACGTTCGGAATTGGTTTCATAAATAGTCGTAGTTTTGTCCGGTGATGCTCAGTAATAGTCATTTACCATCTGATTTACCATCTGAATGTGTTCATCAATACATTTTTATTTGTGAACCTCTCTGAATTAGCATAGTGAAAACAATATCAAAATACAATAAAACTTGTCTAAGTGAAACCTGTGAGACCTCTAAAACCTGGTCACCAGGGATGGGTTCTACTTAAAGAGTTTCATTTAACACTTGGATTGTGACTCTAAAAACTGTTCTACTTGGGAGGTGTTCTACTTATTGATCTTAGGGGATTCTGATGTGTTCCACTAATAGAGGTGTTCCACTTCTAGAGGTGTTCCAGTCTACAGGTTTAACTGTATTTGTTCAGTATTTTCATATTTGTGTTTTTATGTTGTAGAGTTTGAAGAGGCAGAAGCCAAGATATTGGAGAAGTTCAAAGACACGGTTGATAGACAGAAAGATCGACTCAGAGTCTTAGAGAGAGAGCTTACTCAGAAAACAGTAGATCTAGAAGCGGTATGTATGTTTTTTATTAATTATATGAAGGTTTGGAATACATTTCACTTGGATTAGAGATCTATCAAGAATTTAAAGGAGGAAATGCTGGCAATAGTCTTTAAAATTGCTCTTAATATTCACTTGCAAAACTACATTAGTTGCACAACACAAGTGCCATCTATTTATTAGTAGTAAATTGAATCACTCCTTAGATATATTAAATACTCATATTCAAGTCTTTATAAATATCCATATCAACTTATTTTCCATATATCCAAGTCTTTTTTAATATCCATATCCAGTTTATCAATGCTTATAGATTTATCTTTATCATCAATATAAAGTACTATTTAAATGTATGTAAGGAAGGCGATCTATACTTTTGTGTCAAGGTGACCATTTTTTGTCACGTCCTCTATATCTGTTTAACCTCAAGAAAATAGTCCATGGTTTTAATAATCCACTATATCGATTCATTATATAACTAGTGAGCTAGGAATCACCAGTTGTTCTATTCTATTATACATTCAACGTTTTGACGAAAATCGCATGTAGTTGCGTTATCATTCCATATAAGGTAACCGGGGCAGCTCATTATAATTGGATTGTTATGTGGATCGCATCGCCAGAATTGTGAACAATTTTTTTTGTCAGCAAAATATGTCTCATTCGGCCAATTACACTCGGCTGAAACAAATAAGATATATAGAGGTTATTTCATGGGAGGTTTTTGATACAGTGTATATCTGAGGGAAATAAAGTATATCTACCTGAGGGACTGTAAATAATTACCCAGGGATTTCTGTCCCCTTTCAATTACTAGGTACCTTACTCCATCCACTATTTTTACACTCAATCAGGTAAACAAAAACAGTGAAACCTGAATTGTGCAACATCTCTTAACAGTAGAACATATCGTTAGTGGAACACTTTTCAGAGTCCCAAGACCAACTGAGTTAAAGGACAACTGAAATAGCTTTTCTCAACTTGCAGCTACAAAAATGGGGTTTTCTCCATTGTAAGCCCAACGTAGAGTTCTTGCGATAGCCATTATAAAATAAATGTTAGATAACTGCTAACAGTCATAAATAACGAAACAAAACTAACTGATCAATCAAATTGGCCCCCACGTGATTAGTAACGTCATATACAAAATATAGCTTTGGTTTATTGGTACCTTAGTAATGACAACGTCACGGCAACCATAGTATTGTTGTGTAAACAAATAACAAAACATTTTGGCATTATGACGTCATGATCTAATGGACCAATGGACTAATGGACTAATGGGCCACGAGGGGACCAGTGAGAGATCACGTGGGGGCCAATAACGTCACAACCAATTTGAATATTGCTTATTAAGCAGCTATAACGATCCTTAGAGTGAATTAATTTTCACCCTACTGATGAGAAAACATGTCCAGATACATTTATTATGTCACCACCAAAAGTGGTGACATATTGTTATGGTCTCCGTTTTTTTGCGACGGCGTCCGGCGGTTGGTGGTTGGCGTCCGGCGGTTGGTGTCCGGCGGTTGGCGTCCGGCGTCTGTAACAATTTCTTACAACTTCCTATAACTTAACAAATACTGTTTAGACTGACTTCAATTTTTTTCTAAATCATCTACATGTTGTCAGAAGTTCAAATCTGACTTTAGATTTGACATTTGACCTTCAATGACCTTCTCAAGGTCAAAAAGGTCTTTTTTCAACTTGCTTCACATTGACTAAATTTTTTTTCAAAATCATCTACATGTTCTCAGAAATTCAAATCTGACTTTAGATTTGACATTTGACCTTCAAATCTGACTTCAGATTTGACATTTGACCTTCAATGACCTTCTCAAGGTCAAAAAAGGTCAAAAAGGTCTGTTTTCAACTTGCTTCACATTGACTAAATTTTTTTTCAAAATCATCTACATGTTCTCAGAAATTCAAATCTGACTTTAGATTTGACATTTGACCTTCAAATCTGACTTCAGATTTGACATTTGACCTTCAATGACCTTCTCAAGGTCAAAAAAGGTCAAAAAGGTCTGTTTTCAACTTGCTTCACATTGACTAAATTTTTTTTCAAAATCATCTACATGTTCTCAGAAATTCAAATCTGACTTTACATTTTACATTTGACCTTCAAATCTGACTTCAGATTTGACATTTGACCTTCAATGACCTTCTCAAGGTCAAAAAAGGTCAAAAAGGTCTGTTTTCAACTTGCTTCACATTGACTAAATTTTTTTTCAAAATCATCTACATGTTCTCAGAAATTCAAATCTGACTTTAGATTTGACATTTGACCTTCAAATCTGACTTCAGATTTGACATTTGACCTTCAATGACCTTCTCAAGGTCAAAAAAGGTCAAAAAGGTCTGTTTTCAACTTGCTTCAAATTGACTAAATTTTTTTTTCAAAATCATCTACGTGTTCTCAGAAATTCAAATCTGACTTTAGATTTGACATTTGACCTTCAATGACCTTCTCAAGGTCAAAAAAGGTCAAAAAGGTCTTTTTTCAACTTGCTTCAAATTGACTAATTTTTTTTTTCAAAATCATCTACATGTTCTCAGAAATTCAAATCTGACTTTAGATTTGACATTTGACCTTTAATGACCTTCTTAAGGTCAAAAAAGGTCAAAAAGGTCTGTTTTCAACTTGCTTCAAATTGACCAATTTTTTTTTTCAAAATCATCTACATCTTTTCAGAAGTTCAAATTTGACTTTACAAGTTCTCAGAAATTCAAATCTGACTTAAGTTTGAACTCATAATATTGTGAGCAACTAGGTGGTGACATTTTGTCATGTTAATGCCTTGTCAAAAAATTATATTGATTCCTTTAGGCTAAAAATACCATTTCATATCTGCTTTAATGTATAATGAACCTCTATACCTTAAAACCTCCTGAGTAGAACACTTTTTAGAAAAACCAAAGGTGTTCCAATTAGACAGGTTGTACTGTACTACAAAGGGTAGAACTAATCTTCAGAGGACGATGATTCTACACATTTACATAATACATGTAGCTGAATCTACATAAATTGTCTCTCGTCAATGTAAATAATTTTGGAATTCTTACTTTCTTGATAAAGTAACATCTGATTATGATTTAAGGAATCTGTATTAATTTTGTACTTACGATATTCACTTGCAACCATAAGGATCACACAAAAGATCACCAAGATCAAGAACCGCAACATTTTCACCGTGTTAAACAGCTTCAATATACACCTTAAGTCTAGAAATCTCTCGAACGACTATTCATCAAAAGGTGTTTATCTCTGCATTGTTGTTTCACTTAACCTTTTCATATTTACCATTTATTCTTTATTAAACGAAGATTCAATTAAAAAGAAATTGATGATAAATAGCATGATAATTGTCAACAGAAATAAGTTACGCACGAGGTTGTAAAATTGAATAACCTTGTCAATTACCATAGCTATTTGCATTCTTCTTCTTCAAGTTTGTTCATGTCACGTATTGTTTACTTGATGTTTCACAACTAGTACGCTTGATAATTGAAAGTCACGTTTGATTATTAAAACATAACTCATTAAAGTTGGTTCATTTCACGTATTGTTTACTATATGTTCCATTACTCGTGTACTTGAAAAAAATTCTTACAACATTCTAGAGAATAAATCTAAAATGTTTTTAATTTTTTTTAATTTATAATAATCTGTTACATGTACCATTAACAGCCATTATATGTGACCTTCTCCATGGCACTGGATTTGTTTTCATTACTATGAAATATTACTGATCATTTCAGTAAAAATTGTGACCTTACCCAAACGGAAATGGAGATGATGTTTCACAACTAGTTTGACGCACGATACAACAGCACCCAGTCTCTAGGGAATTGATTATACTTTCAATACAAAGCAGTAGCAAACCCGAGGGAGGGGGATGTTAAACATTGTTTTTATGTGCTAGATCATAGTTTGGGAATTGAGGGTTTCATTTCCCTAAGACCGAAACATAGATGTCCCATTTCATCGCACTTTGACAAAGTCGTCTGTTGTCGTCTTGTGCTGATTGGTGTGTGGGTGGGCGTGTACCACTGAAATGGAATCTTGTTATTGAAGTTGCAAGAAACCCCCTTACCTGTTCAGTTAGAACTTCTGCACTTGCGCTTGTATTTCAGAGCTTTTCTGTTATGATTAATTGAACAGGGCTATATTTGTCGTTAGATTTTTGTTGTCACTATTAATTATTTGTAGTTTATTTACTTGAATAAGATGTGCATAATGTAAAACAATAAGCTTGAAGATAAATTTTATCCACACACATGTATGATAATTAATTGCAACCCAAACAACTGTATAAGATGAACGTCTTTGTACCAAACTCTACTCAATGTCTTAAATGAGTTAAAATTACTGGTAGTTATTTATAGTTATTAAGTCTTTTTCCAAAACTATTCAGCAGTACATATGACTAAATAGGAATAACATCATCTTCATATGTTAACATCCTTGTCACAAGTTCCTCTGTAACAGTCTCTTGGTTTTGTTCACTTAGATAATCTCCACTGCTTGGGAACACATCATTAACTGTAGGATCTGAACTGGCAATTCTTTTCAGGTCCTGTTCGCCATTTTTTTCCTTTTTGTTCTTCAATCTTACTGCAAGTATATCTGTGCAGTGTTTCAGTTCAAGATTTCTTGCCTTTGAGAAAGTCTTGCCTCTCCATGATCCAAAATAAGTGATTCCATCATGAAACAAAACCAAGAAATTCGCTGAATCATTTCTGTTGCCATCTTGGAGTATATTTCCTCGGACTTCATCAAAAATTTTAAATGTAGCTGTTATTCCTTTCACCTCAGTTGATAGGTCAGCGTTGTTCAGTTCAGCAATGTTATTGGTCAGATCAATTTCGGTTCTTGCACCCTGGTCGAACATGACAGCAGCAACTAGAATATCACATCCTTTCTCTTGTAACATCTTTGCTGTTTTAATGGCCACAGTACGGCTGGATTCTTTAGATTCTTTACTAATGCTGCCTGATACATCAAATGCAAATATGACATCTATTTCTGAAAGATGAATATATAGTCATGAGTTCAATTTTTTCATCATGGGCTGAAGTTTCTGAGAGATGAATGTATTAAATTACTAGTAATAATAAGATCAGTTTTCGAATCATTGAACTCATGCAATTTCCTGATAAGCAGAAGTCAAATGCAAATATGAAATCTATTTGTGAAAGAAAAATGTATTACTTAACTAGTAATGGTAAGTTCTGTAGGGGTGTCTCAATTGGTTCTCAATTGACCAACCCTTTAGAAAAATATCACCAGCTAAACTTCGTCAATATCTCTGAATATGTTATTTTTCTGTCATCAATAAAGTTAAGACAACAACTATTCCTTTAACTTACTTCCAAGAGGGCAGGATGACTCTTCATATCCTTTAGGTTCTTCTGTGGTAGATTCTTCATCTTTGCTTCCTTCAGGTTTTACTGGCTCACATGTCTTCACCTTTGTAGCTTTACAGGGACAAGGGCAAGCTGAATTAAATATTAAATAAACATTTCATATGTGGTATGTCATTTCATATCATATGTGGAACCAATTAAAACAAGATTAATATGTTCTGTTTTATTTTCTTATTACTTTTCTGTGTAAACATTTATGACCTCTGCAACAATCTTTCAAATAGATCATTAATTTTGAATCCAACTGATCTATTGCAAAGGTAGTATACAAAAGATAAATTTATTGATATTTTTTTTATTTTCATAAGTGGTAAAAGAAGAAATCTTTTTGACTAGAGCTATCCACACAATATACACTGCGTTTCCAAATCTCTTTGGTTTGGCTTCCCATCTCTCAAAGTTTTCTAAATTTTTTGTTGCTTAATTCCTTTGTGTTGACCTGTGTATTCATAAATTGTGTATTTTGTCATCATACATCATCTTACCCTTTATTTGATCTTGTATCCACTTAACATATAGAGCTATATTCATCATTCTGCTGTTAATGCCTGGTTTTCCTGATTCATGGACTCCAACCTGACATGGCTCGTCCTTACCTATACAAAGTAAAAAATTAGCCTTCTCATTCATGCTAGTGTATATTAAAACTCCATGGTTTCTACAACGATAAGGGCACTGGCAGTTTTTTCACTTTGGATTTTATTGGTTTCTAAGTGAATATCTTCTTTTATTATATACCCAATATGTAACACTAATCCTGATTGGTCAATACCTAGTCACGTGTTCCGAAATAGATTTACTATTTCCCTCGGAAAGTTATATTCCCTCAAATGTGACGTCAGCGGGAATATACATTTGAACTATTGCCCGCTGACGTCACAATTGCAAGTTCTATTACCCTTGGAAACGTCTGCGCATCATCACTGTGCAGACGAAAAACAGAAAAATGGAGGATGAGCACAAACACAAATCAACTTCGTTCACCATGACAGACGTGCGTGAACGATACAATATAAGCAACGTGTATAAAGTTCCCTAAGCTCAATACGTCTGTGTAATTTCAAGTGTTATGATAATCTATTCCGCGTGTTAAACGCGATTGAATTTGTCAAGTGAGAGTCTCAGAGGCAAAAATTTCTGTTGAGCATCTGATGACGTCACAGCTTATAATGCTAACAATGGACCCGGGAGGGGGCTTTCTAAGCCGTTTTGGCCTTCGCAGAGGAAACGGGACAAGAGTCAGTATAGGGTATATAATAAAACAAATAGTGACTGCCTAATTTCGAGCAATAGTGTAAATGATTTCCCCTTGGGAATATCCTCTACAATGTACTATTCCCTCAGCCTGCGGCTTCGGGAATAGTACATTGAAGAGGATATTCCCTCGGGGAAATAATTTACACTATTGCCCTCAATGGCAGTCACTATTTGTATAATGTTTCCCTTATTAGTGTCACTATTCGTAACTTTAAAAAAAAATTTGCTTCAGAAATCCTACCATTTTTCTTTGAACTTGCTATCCATGGTCCACCTGAGTCGCCACCTCCTGTAATATGAGGTTCAACCACAGAACATATTCCCTTCATGGCTTTACAATCTTCAATTGTATCTGATCTCTTTTTTAAAGTCTCCTGATATTTTCCCTTTTTACCAGGTAGGTGTTTTCCCCAACCATAAGCTGTAACATTGCATCCGTTTGCTGGGACTTTGGTCGACAAACTTATTGGGCCAATCTTGCCTGGGACATATTTCACACAGCGGGAAAGTTTCACCAGTGCGATATCAGGCATCCAGTTATTTGTCGCTTTTGCATCTTTATGTATTTTATATGTGAATGTATCTTTTTGTCCTGTTTTGAAAACTACAACTCCTTTCTTGTCAGTTGTATTGTGAACACCAAGTGAGACTTTATTTATTTCCTTTCTGTAATAGAAAAGTACTGGAAATGAGATGAATTAGAGCATTTTAATATTCATCATAACAATTTCAAATGCTGGGTCAAATGATCTTGAAACTTAAAAAAAACATTGCTAAATTATGTAAATGGATAAATGCAAGGGGCTCAAGCATTTCAAACTCTAGACCTCATGGTTACAGAGCAAGAGCCTAGGTCAGGGTGATCAGTGCTCTCTACTGCTCCACAACCCCAAAAAAAGGTTGCTTGCATCAGCAAATTTGAAAAGACTTGAACAGGGGTTTATGCTCAAATACACTAGAGGTACATGTAACATTCATACACACATTCACACACACAATTAGCTAAGAACGTCCTCAATGCATTTGTGTGTAGCATGAAGAGAATCTGTCTTGCATGCAGATAACATACCCAATTTGGAAGCAGTGAATGGCATGAAGAAAAGGTGTCTCACACTAGTGTAAATAACATACCCAATTTTGAAGCACACACACTTAGCTAAGACCGTCCTCAATGCATTTGTGTGAAGAGAATGTGTCTCACACTAGTGTAAATAACATACCCAATTTTAAAACAGTGAATGGCAGCAAGAATATAACAATTATTGATGAGTGTTCCTCCGCATATTTCACCATTTGGGTCAACAAGATGTACCATCCATGGATGCTCAAGATCTCCAGCATTTTCATCTGTTAAAGTATGATATACATATAATGTGTGTGATGAGGAACATAATATTATACTCACAATTTTATTAGCAGTTGTTCTTCTTTTTGCATATAGTTTTGTAACTATAATCTTTTTTCCCTTTGACACTAAGTTTTAATTTCCTGACATATTTGTATGAGACATTATGCACATTGTACATTTTCATTGTAGCTTTTCATATTTCATGATATCAGTAATATACTTTCCTTTCTTTTATCCTTTCTACAGAAATTTGCTTCAATCTGTACAGAAAACGGTATTTTATTATTTTTGATAGCAGAGTAGAGAATTATAGTGTTGGCCTCTGATGGTGCCAATCAATTAATTGCAACTTAACATTAATAATTCTTACTTGGTTCAAGTATTCTCTTGTTCCGTGCTCCAAATGTCATTGACATCAGCATGCACAATGATATTGCCAAAATCATCCTGAGCTGCATTTAGTGCATACAGATTCACCAACAATATTTTGATTTTTGATGAACATTAGAATATAAAAGGAGGACATTTTAGATAAAAGCATTTATTATTTTATTAATTATTTGCTTTATAACATACAGTTTTGATTGTTTTTATTGAATTATGTTGAGAGTAATCGCTTAACTGGACATTAAAGCACTATTTTTGCATCTCTATTATTTGAACATCTGCTGTTGTAGAAATATTTATGATCTCGTGAACAGTTTACGTTGTATTGTTGTTCAGGTCTGTAATATATAAATGAAATAAAAACTCATTGATTAAATATGTTTATTGTTGTTTTCAATGTACTTCAGTAATGTTTTTACAAATAACTTGGTTTGAGGAATAAAGTGAATTATAGCTTTATCTTTCTCAATTTGGATTGTAATATTGCTTCCTGGTTGTTAGAATATTTTTTGTGTTTTTAATCATATTATGGTGCTCCTTTTTCTTTTTTACTGTATTTTGTAAAGCTTTTCAATTTTCCCGCCTTTGGAACTTTAGCTTCCACATTTATATCCCCAAACTGTCGATATCATTACAACAATGATTTTCAAGGTAATTTCAGTGTGTCTCTGTGTGAATCAAGCATAGAATTTAGAATAATGCAAAATTGAAATTATGCAGCAAAACAACACAAGATTATGTGGGAGAAAATACAAATCTAGCAAATTTTTTGTTATTAAAACATATCCCATACAAATGTAATTCTAGGATCTATGATAAAGTTATTTAGTGAGTCACGTATTTGATTAATATTTTCTTCTAATTGTATAATGTGTCAGCAATGTCAACCATCCACTTGAAATTCGGTCCGATACATTCTGCAATCTGGGGGAACTATATCTGGCTTCCATTTTCCGCGTGATGTACATAAGAATTGCATAATTCCTGTTGGATTTGTTGGAATATATTGAAATTTGCATTTTACAATGACGACATCACCAGCTCTGTTATTGGTGAGAGAGCCACTGGTAAGAACCATGTCATCTTTGAGTGTGAAGTCCGTGCATCTTTCTCCTAAAACAAAGAAAATGATACAAAATTCACTGAGCCACATATAGAATCCTTTATAATACTTCTTATAGTTTAGATTCTAATTCAAACAGATGTAATTCATAGAATGAAATAACTATGGGTAATAGGTTAAACAACATCATTTTTACGATTGAGATTTAAAGTAAACACTTTGAAAATGACTCTTTAAAACACATTTTGCACAATCAAATTGGCTTTATATAATGCTCTAAATAAGCAGACATAATTTGTATGCATGGAAGGATAGTAACATTTGAAGGGTCATAGTTATTATTTGAAACTTTGATTGACTGAAGGGTTGATATGAATTGTCTAAAATGAAAAGAAAACTTAGAAGCTGTCATATATAGAAGTCCTAGCAATTACAAAAGAAGAGGCTCGATAGAGAGAGCTTTTTAGATGAGTACAACTTTTTTATTTTCTACACGATCATTATGGAATTTTCAGACAATATCGGAGGTGTGATGAATTTTTATATTCTAAAATATTATTGTTGAATTATGAAAAACGCATTTTGTAGAACTTTTTTGGCGAAGCGATGAAATTCCATCTTATATTTTGTACCGTTTTTCAGTGCGTAAATAGAATGACTTAACGTTTTTAAGCAGCAAAATAACATATATCGTAACCACATAATAAAGCAAAGTCTTATTTTCTGTAAAGAAATCGTGATTCGATCCATGAGAAGTATGTCTTAAAATTGATGAGAAAAATGGTTACATTTTTTCAACATTTTTGAGCGATCTCTTTAGTAGAATTTTACTTGTGTTAGATAGAGGTCGTCTCGCAAAACCATTATGTGCAATTTTCTCTTAAAATTGATTATCTTTGGAAATGTTTCACTCGACGAAAATTAGATGTCGTTGCCATGTCGTCTATGGATGGTCTATTTTTCTTAAGTAATTCCAAGGCCCCGAACGTACCGCGTTCGTAATTTCAATGTTTTCTGCGTTCGGCCTTTTATCGTAAACTGTTCTATCATCATTGATGAAAAAGAAGGGTGCGCGAACTTTGAATTTATTCAGTGTGGGGGTTACCCTTCCCCCATTTGACATGAAGGCCAGAGCTGAATATGACAGCACATGTTAGTGAATGATTGGTAAGTGAAAACAATCTATCTTTATAACGGAATATATTCCCTATAGTTAAGTGGATTTCTGGTCACGAAACAAATAAATACTAGATATAGTCTGATAGTAACAGTTCAAACAAAGCTTGTCCCCGTCTGTTTTGATTGTTTGACCGGGAAACCAATGGGGTCTTCTCATCTGCATAATCAAGTCACCTTATATCGCACTATTAGAGCTGGGTAACTGGTAAGCAGAAAACACAATCGCCACTTCAAGTACATTTCACTGTTTTTTCTTGCGCTTTTTTCTTAGCTCTCATTTATGTGTCATACGTTTAGTCAATCAATTGTTTGTAGCTGAGCTAACGATTTGAACGGATTGCAATGAAATGACCTTTATGCGGTCTGGCTACGTACGGCCTGTTGATTTCTACGGGGACCGCAGAAATTAACAAATATTGTAACTCCGAGTTATAAAATCTACGGCTTCCCTTCACTGATATAATTTATCTGAGGTCTACTTACGGCCACTGTGCGACAAATGTGACTGGGGAGTAAATTGGTCTGCGGTTGACGTAGTCGCCTTTCAAGTTAAGTATTGAGATTTCTATTCTAACCTTCACTTAAGAAACATAACATTAACTAGGATGTGGCTCTGCGGCTGCTGCAGAAAAACCGAGTGTATTATTTACATACAATAATGTTATCGTATATACATGCTGGTTGCCAAAATGTGGCTCTGCGGCTGTGTCGCCGCTGGACAATATACAAAAATGTTTATAATGGACAATTGATAAGCTTTCTCGATAATGTAGTAATAACAAATCGCATTTCAAAATTAAAAACTTTCCGACCACCTGTAAAACCTTTTCTATCTTTAGCATCACAAATTCATTAATGCCCATTATTATTCTGTTGAGAACATGATGCTAAAAATCTTTGAAATCCTAAACAATTGAGGATAAGGAAAAAGTTTTGTCCGAAAAAATGTCATAAACATTTTGAAGACATAGACTTAGTTTATCTCGCCGCTTAGAGCCTAAGTGATCTTATTCATTAATACATACACCGTTCACTCAGTAATACTGCATTTACAATTACCGTTCTATTTTCATAACGTTAAACGACCAAATAGAAATCATTTTCTTGCTAATTCGTACTACGTGACTCAAACGCAATAAAATACATTTCTTGTATAGTGATAAGACCTGATACATTTCAATTTATTTTAGTATTCCCACGATTTGTTATGGGGTAATGACCATAGATGAATTTTATTTGTAATTATGATGGCTAGTTTTTAGTCGAGTTACAGCACTAGTACTTCCATTGGCTGACATGTTTAAACTAACACTTCTCCCTACAATGTACAACAGTTTTTAATGCATGTAGGGATACACCCATTGCAAGCAGAAACACCGCACTTCAATTTGTACAGCAGTAAGGGTCGAGCACATGTTGTAAAAGCTGTATACCGAATTTTCCCTCAAATATTTGTAAAAGTTGTTTCAATTTAAAGGCTGGATTTGAGATAACGTATAAGCCTTGTGAGACGTGACCTATATATATAACACAGGAGTCGATTTAATATTTTACGCTCACACATATCTGACATAGCCTAACATGTTATAAATTGAGAGATTACAAAATATATGCAATTAGCATTTATATCACAGTTAGCTAGAACAACCATTTCGCGACAATTAGCCCACGTTATGGCTGGGTCACATAGGTGTCTGGCCGATTGAGTGTTTTGTTCAAAATTGTATTTGTTTGAAACAAAATACTCAATCGGCCGAGGGCCGACCGATGAATCGCAGCAAATATGAACCTGACATTATGTAACGTTCCCTTTTTTACAAATACAATGTATCTTGGGCTTTCTTATATTTTGATATTGGTTGCTTATTTTCACGGCTTGATTGACGCACAAATATTTTGATTGTACGTGCTCATGACAGGTTTAGGCATTAATGGGTGACAACGTCTGTCAAAATATTGCACGTCGGTTGTGTTGACGTGATTTATGACTGAATACATATTAAAACTAGTACTGCTTTTGAAAAGTTTTTAAAAAAGTATGGAAGAGTCTAACCTGCTCGTTAAAGATATTAAGTTGTATTATGTATTGTACACGTAACTACATTAATTGTATGTACCTACATTGTAACACAACGGTGTTGCATGGTGTACTTAGTAATGTTTATGCGCATTAGCAATGTCATGAACAAAATTGAGCAGAATGTGATCCCCTCGATTTTTGTGAATTTCTAATTTCAGGGACTTTCTCTCAAAACAGACCCCAAGTTAGTCATGGAAACACTTTCTTAATCTCTCAAGCAACTTTAAGGTAGATGTGTTTTTTGGGAATTTTTATAGTCTAATTTTAACGAAGCCACACATTACTTTCAAATATGGACCTCTTTCCAATGTTGTCTACAACTTTCAGTTTTGCATAAAGACTGCACTATTGTAGTGAGAAAAGAGTGTGGACAATATTTCGTTTATAAAATGTATGAAAACGAGAAAATCCAGTGACTTACTTTTTAAAAATAAAAAATAAGTCGGCTACTTCATTTTCCAATTTTTATATAACGTTCACTACGCTCTTATCTGGTTACCTTTAGTGTACTCTTTGTGTAAATGTGAAAGATGTAGAGAGCGTATGAAAAATACGCCTCGCACTTTTTGTCAGATTTCAGACATAATTAACTTCAAGGTAATATACAAATTGGGAAAGAAATTGCCATCAATATATTCCAGAAAAGAAACATATTGATATGGTCTTTGTTGATTGAACATCGTTTAGATAATATTAGTATTGAAACATCACTGAGGGCGGTCCCAACAAAATCTCTATATGTCAACCTTGCTTGAAGCATCAAATTGATTAATTTGAGTGTTCACGGAATGTGTGTGTCAACGATGGATGCTTTTTGTTTGATACGTTTATTTCGTACACTCGTATGATTGATATAATCAATAACTTCAAAAATACATGCTCAATCTAGAATGTTTTGTTAATTAGGGGTACAATGTTTAGGACACTAAAGACTAAAAGAGTTTTTATGTTCACAATGATTATACAGTATGTATTACATTCAAGGACAGGTTGACCGAACAAGCTCGAACATTTAGCACGCATCAATGAATATGTACGTAACATATAACAACTGAATACACTCCCTGGAGTGAATTGAACTTACACTTGTACAGAATCGGTTTCCGTGTTCAGCCTCGTACTTGAAGCACAGTTGAATTTAGAAACATATTATAACGAATGCGTCAGGTCTAATAAGTCTCAGCAACGTACCCAAAAGCAAAAGCGACCGACCCAAGACGGGAAAGGCTACAGTTGTCTGTGATGCTTCTGAAAGCTGGCACATCACAAATCAAGAGTGAGTATGCCCCCCCCCCCACCCCAATAACGTTTGAAAGGTCGTATAAAGTGCGACCACTCGTACCTCTCATCCTCTCATGATATCATGATACACATAATTGTTTTTGGATATTGCTTTTGTGTGGGTCAAGTAAATTGGAGCATTTGGTTGAGAGGTGTTATCATTTATGCCCTCCATTTATTAATAGGGACGGAATAAGTCACTACAAAACTCCAGATGAAAACGTCATAAGGTACAGCTGGAAAGTAACATTTTGGTAAAACATTTCTATACCTGCACATGTTATTTTCTGGTACAAAATAAAGTATGAAGGCATGTGTCAATTTCCTTGCTTTTTTAAGGAAAGTATCATTACATTGTCTTCTTTTAGAGTATCTGGTAGGAGTTCAATGGGAACTCCAGGACATTCCGATATTCCACACTTTCTATTTTTCTTTCAAAGTTTTCAGACAACACAGGAACTATCATTGACCTGTTTCCAGGTTTACTAAAAATAGACAGTGTAATAATCCTTTCCTGAAAAAAGC